CGACCGTTGGATTGGTATCTATTGTGCAACTCATTTAAAAGTCGTTCTAGGGTTTGAGACTTTTAACTTCTAGCTTCTGGACTCTTCGATATCACTTTCTCTACTGCGCCGTTGGCTTCTAGGGTCCTCTTCTTCTCTGCTAAAATCAAATACTCTTATTTGATTTCTGTGTTCTCTCAGATAACTTGTAAATCTTGAGTGATTTCATTGATTGAGAGTGGTTCTTGTGTGAACTGTGTGTTGTGAAGAGGGTTGTTCTATTTTGTGTAATAAAAGGTCTAGTCTGAGTGTTTCCTTTGTATTCTTACTATTGGGGTTTGATTCGAGCTTAACTGTGGTTATCCTTGTGGGATTGAAGCTCTAATCTGTATGAATTTTGGCCTAAGGGCTTGTATCGAAGATAAGTTTCTTTACTGTTACAGTGCTTCATAATTTCAGTATACCATTGTGTTCAGTTTTATTTCGGTTTCTTGAAATTCTTCTTTCCAGATTAGTATTCTTAACTTTAGCAGATCTATTTTTGTGTTGTTTTGTGCTAATCGGTTTTAACTCCTCCCTACAGAATAGAAGTTAGAAAATATGTTCTTTCATTACTAGGCACTAACTTTGAGTACTTTTCCATTTAAGTATAGCCAACTGGCAAGAATTTGAACTTCCAACATCCTGTTTAACATTGTATGTCTACTGTTTCACAAGCTTCACTGAACTGGGTTTTGAATTTCATTTTATATGCTGCTATTTTTATTCTTTAATAAATATAGTTGTGCATCAATTTGACAGTTGACTGCATTGTATTTCAGTAAATATTCCAGTGAATATAATTATTATATCATCAGTGTAATACCGTTTTAGCGATTTAGCAGGTATACCGTATACCCTGGGGAAAGAAAAGCTAATGTAGAGAGCAGTTCTTGGGGTAACAACTATATCTACTGTTCTTTGCCTTTTGGAATGTATCTTTATCTTCATGCTCAATTTGTTCATCGTAAGCTAGTACACATGCTACAGATTCTTTTAACTGTATAATCGAAAACTTGCAGTCAATCTTATTTCTACGTCTGCAAAGCTTAATTTAGAGTTAGAGCATTTAATGTCTGTTCACTAATGCGATTTGACAACATTCCTTATCCAGTTTTTCAAAACCTTACACAAATAACTTTCTCACCTCGAGAAGCAGCTGAAGGAAATGTTCATACTGGAGCGCCTCCTCCTTGGTTTGATGCAACTGAAGTAGATCAGCTCGATGTTACCCAAAACGGATTGGAACTGCTTGGGTAGAAAGAAGAAAGAAAGAGCTAGAGCTGAAGAAAGATAGAGAGCTTGTCGCCAATAATTTTGATGCTAATTGGCTCCCTAATTTTGGTAGAGTTTGGCAATCAGGTACCAGAAAGGAATCTAGAAAAGAATTTTATATGGAGAATAAAACATCCCTAAAGGTTGAAACTCAATCGGAGAATCCAGTCTCATTGCAGCCTTATGTCAGCAAGCGAATGGTTAGATTCCCGTTTCATATGCTGTTATAGATCATATCCCCAATTTTAATAATGCATTTACTTTATGAACCTATATTTGGAATCTCTGTCTTTTAAGTATTTGTGCTCTCTTTAGAAATCTGCTACTTCTCTTGTGTATTTACACCAACTCTGCTTCGATGTCGCTTGTCAACCATAAATGTCAATAAACACCACCTAAGTTTTATTCTCAATACGTTTGAAGTTGGCTGCATGAATCCTTTTTCGCTGGTCTATATAGGGGCATGGATTGGGGGGCAGCCCAAGCCCAGATAGTTTTTTCATATGTAAAAAAATTATGGAATTTTTTTTCTTCTATGTATTAGTCCAGTCTGGAAAAAAATAAGTAATAAAAAATACTTTGTCATCCCTTGTCTCCGCCCCTGGACTTCTATATGATCCTTCACTCATTTGTAGAAAGATCAAATGAAATCAAATACTTTGCAACTAGGTCAGGTTATTCTTTCTTCTGACTTGTTCTATTGACTGTTATCCAATGGGAAATTTATGGTTTCAACTTCCATGACTTCAATTTTCGTATGTAAAAATGGAAAAGCAATAGAGAGAACTTATTTCTTTGACATCACATATAGTTATATGCATTTTTCTTTTGTTGCATCTTTAACATTGAAATTCATACTAAACATTTTAGACCATGGCTTGTAAATTTTGTGGAACACCCAGGGTTGCTGATTGTGTGATGGTAAATACAAAAACAACAAATTAAGCTTTATTTCCACTAAATTTTGGAGCCGGCTAAATAAAATTGGTTTTTCACCACTTTAAACGATTTATTGCTATGTCTAGTGAAAGGTCCAAATTAACAAGATCTTTAGCAACTACGGCCGACCATTTAGTTCTGGTTTTCTCCTTATCTCTTCTAACCTTTTCTAATGAGTTCCCTGTCACTCGTGGTGGGAGCCGCTTTAAACGTATGCAAAACATTTCCCTGCCATTTAAGTTGTCCTTGATTTTTTGCTCAATTGGTGTTGCCTTTACTTGTTGGCATATATTCTCATTTTAGGCACGGTGATGAATCTAGAAGTAAATTAGGAATGGAATTGAAGGTGTTTCTTAGACAATAATTTTCGAAGCTTTCCTTTGTTGGGAATTTAACATTAAAAATTCAAGCTGGACATTTTGTGAAACATTTTGTTGGAATTTAACATTCAAGATTGCCTATGGGCTTATCAGCTTGTTTATGAATATAAAAGAAAATTTTGCAATTTCGAAAATACGTGCATGTTTTTGGAGTAATGTTTTTGGAGATTTCAAATTTTACTCAAATTTTGTAACTATTGATGCACAACGTTTTCATTTCTCAATTGCATCATATAATTTTATTTGTCTTGCTATTGCAACGCAGAGATACCGATGAATAATGCTTCTCAATGATAATGTAGATCTGTTCGATGCTGCATATTATTTAGTGCGCGAATGCAGCGAGTGAATAGCATCACGTGCTACATCTCTGTTCGATGCTGCCTAGTATATATATTTTTTGGTCGCTCGAGACATATATAATGTAGATCGGAATTCACCCTTAAATTCAGTCTTGTAAATCAATTGCTGTTGCATTATGTCTGTAGGAGAATCTCTAAGGCCCGTTTGACACGCCAAATTTTCCAGGGAATTAGGAAAATATTTTTCGCTTTCCACTTTTTTGGCTGCTTGATAGACGAAATTTTCCACGGAAAATATTTTTCGGATTTTCCCCANATTTTCATGTAAAACAAAGACAAACGAACACTAAATTTTGATTAAAAAAATGATTTTTTAGGAAATTTTTTTTTTTTTTTAATTTTTTGACAATGGAAACAAATGTTATAACCAATAGTAAAAAAAAAAATTCACTTTAATAGATAATTTTCATGTAAAATTAAGTCAAATGAACACTAAACTATGATTAAAAAAAATGATTTTTTAGGAAATAATTTTTTTTCCTTTTTTTTTTTTACTTTTTGACAATGAAAACAAATTTTATAACCAATTATGGAAAAAACTATCACTTTAACAAACACTTTCCATGTAAAATAAAGCCAAACGAATAGAAAATTTAAATATTTTCCGGGTGGAAAATTATACCAATCGAAGACACTTGAAATCATTTTCTTTGCAAAACATTTTCTAAGCAAATTTTTTCCTGTAAAATATTTTCTTTCCACCAATTTTCCATCCTTGCAATCAAACAAACCCTAAAAGATTCTTTAAACATGAGATTCTCTCTATTTTAAATAGTTTACTTCTAAAATCATGTTCCAAGAGACTCTTTAAATTAACATTTTAATTTAAAAAGTGGGTTGGCTCACCAAATTGGGAGAGTTGAACTCAATCTCTATAATTAAATGCATTCAAAATATTTCAATTTTCAATGTAGCAAAACAATAAAATAATCTAAAGAAAGATTAATTAAAATAAAAGATAAAGAAAAATAATAAATATTTTTTGGGAGTGGTAAAATTAAGTGTTAAATATAAAGAGTTGGTTGGAGTATTTCAAAATTTTAACTCTCTAAATTTATAGATGTTTTTCAAATGATAGAATATACTCTTTAAAAATAGAGTATCTTGGAGATGTTTTAACCATATTAACAATGTATGGAAAATTAATTAATTTCAAATGGTTTTGTTGTATACGTTTCTTTTAAAAGAAACCCTCTACACTTTTGTATAGTATTGCTACACTAAGAGCATGTTTGGCTAAGCTTAATTCAAATAAATAAATAAAATCATAAAAGAGAAAATAGTGTGTGTAGGCCCTGCAGCAAGTTTCAAATTTCCTACCTAGCTTCAAGAATGACAAAATGCCCTGTTTGGTTCCGCTAGAGGTATCAAGACAGATGGATCGACCAAACCCATGAAAATCGGCTCGGATCGACTTGGGACCATCGGCCAACCCGTGACTCAAGCGGGCGGTTCACGAGTTAAGAAAGTGTGACCCGCGAGCTTCTCAGGTTGCACCTTCACAGGTTAAAAATTTGAAAAAAAATAGGGGAAGAGAGCCAACCTAGTTGCGATGTACTTAAACTATAAATTATAATAAAAGAAGGTGCCAACCTAGTTTGAATGTACTTATACTATATGTATTTAATAATAGTAATTAGAAATGCATTTAGTTGTTATTTGTTTAAGTTAAATTTAATTTTACAAAGTTATAAATAATTCATGTAACATTAAATTTGAATTCTATGTAAACATTTCTTGGTATAAATATGAATTTATCATTTTGTTCAATTCTTAGTTTACATTTAACAAAAAAAATATTTTTTGCTATAAATATGAAAAATT